TTGTAACTCAACGTGGGTGGCATGCATCGTTGCATGTCTTGCTAGAGTTTGCTCTGCTATATATTTTCGATCCGTTCTGTGCGACGATCATTCTTGTTTGCTCGTAGTGTTTCAGAGTTCTGAGTTTATTCGCTCCTCGCCGCCGTTGAGCTTTGACTCGTTTGTGAGCTTTGACTCGTTTGTGAGTTTCTTGCTTCCTCGTAGTGCTTAAGAGTTTGTGAGTTTCTTGCTTGCTCGTAGTGTTTCACAGTTTGTGAGTTAATTCGCTCCTCGCCGCCTTGTCTTCGCGACGCCATGGCTGCCTATACTGACGATGAAATCCGCGCCATGACGGTTCCGCGTCTCCGCAGCAAACTCTCGCTGTTGGATTTGGATACTTCGGGCCGGAAGGCTGCCCTCGTTGATCGCCTGATTCAGGCCCAAGTTCATCACGCTGATCCCTGCCAGTCTGCAGCGAGCACGGTGAGCGGAGCAGGCAACAGAGAACGCGAGCCGTTGGCGCCGTCTGTGCCTCCGACGTCGGCGATAACTCCCGACACAATCCGCTCCACCATAGTATCGGTGGTGTCGGAGACTTTGCCAACACTTCTGGCGGCCATGGTTCCCGATTCTCTGCCTCATAGTCTTACGAACTCGACTCCTCTCCCAGCCAGCTCAGGTAGCAGCAAGTCGTTCGCCGCCCCCCTAGGAGCCAAACATCGCGAGCGGATTTTGACGGGTGAGTTCGTGGAATTGAGTGAGCTCTTGCCCTCTGTGTCTAGCTCTGTGCCGCACGCCCGCACACAGGACGTGCTCCGTTTTGTCCGTCGGATGGGGGTCCGTTGCGGGTGGTCGAGGACGGCGCTGCCCGCGGCAAGAGCAGGCACGTTCAGGACCTTGCAAAGGTTACCTGTTTCAGTGTTTTCACAGTTTGTATTTTGCTCGCTCTTCGGTTTGAATAATTCCTCGCCGATCGCCTGTTTCAGTGTACTTCACCACGCTGAATCCTGCCATTCTACCCCGAGCGCGGTGAGCGGAGCAGGCAGCAGAGAACGCGAGTCAGCGTTACTCGCAGCAAGAGTAGGCATGTTCATGATCTTGCGACATGGGTCGAGGCCTTCACCGTCTTGGTCCAGATCATGGTCGACATTGCTTTGCACAGGATAGTGGAGTTGCTGTTCTGTCAATTCCGCATCAAGGCTGCTGCCGACCCATCACTGAAGTGGGACATCATTGCGCCCAGTCTGTGGCAGCTGATATATTTCTTACTGTCTCCAACGCTGCTGGGAGGACGGTATGACAGCTGGTCCATTTAACACACAACCGTTCAGCCCCATGCAGTCGTTTGGGCTAGGCATTGTGCTGGCCAAGAGTTTACAACGCCCTGGCCCTAGCATTGCCAGAAGGGATCTGTTTGCCAGCGACTGGCTCTAGCATTGCCAGGAGGGAACTGTTTGCCAGCGATAATCTATCTTTCTTCTTCAAAGTAAGTTGTTCAACCCCAGGCTATGCAACTCCACACCAAGTTACTAGTACTGTGTACATACTTGGAGCATGCTTTGACCAGCAGCATCCAGTTCTTCATCTGCACCCAGGCACAGCCCTGTCATCAATCCATCAAGTACTGCTATTACTTGGTCTACTTGTCATTGGTGGGGTAAGGAACTCCCACACACACACATACATAGTGCATAAATCAATCTGGTGCTAGTGCCTGTCACTTTCGAGGTGCACCACCCACGTACTCACAGGCTGGCCTATGCCCATGCTGTTGCAATCTCCTCCAGAAAGTATGGGGGTTAGCACTGTTGCAGTTCACACTGCCATCCCAACCAGTGTGTATAACCAACAATTGACGTGTTGCAAGTATTCAAGTGTTCAGTCCAACAGCAGATTTGCTTGGGCCACTCTTGTCCAACCATTTATGTAGTTTTCCAGTATAACCTCAACCTCTCTGGCCCGACGTCATTTAGTCTCTGACACAGGCGTTGCGTCCACAAGCACGAACCCGCCTGCCTTCTAGGCCATCTCACATTCGCCACCCACCCGGACGTTATTATGCCCTGCCTGTCTGACCTTGTCAAGGCCACATCTGAGTTCTTCTCACATAATGCTGCACCTCTCAACCTCCGTCAAGGACGACCCTGAGCTGGTGGCACCAGACTCTGTCAACGTATTGAATGTTGGCACAAGCCGTTCAGTTCTTCTCTGGTCATGGCACTCATCTGCACCCTCTACTTGTGTCCAGTACTACTTACTGTTTCGAGCATCACACCTGCCAGTCACCTCCAATACCATCGATGCTCCGTGCCCGGACCAAGTTGGATGACTCCAGAACCTTTGCTCCCACAGCTGCGGCACGACCTGACACCATGGTCTAGCCAATCACCGCAGCAAAGTTCGTCCTTCTATTTGGGCAAGCTCCCTTTGCTGCACGAGCATTTATCCGGCGTGAAATGAGGGACACCGCCAAGGAGATCATCAAGGCCACATCTGAGTTCATCTCACAGAATGCTGCACCTCTCAACCTCAGTCAAGGACGACCCTGAGCTGGTGGCACCAGACTCTGTCAACGTATTGAAGGTTGGCACAAGCCGTTTAGTTCTTCTGTGGTCATGGCACTCATCTGCACCCTCTACTGGTGTCCAATACTACTTACTGTTTCGAGCATCACACCTGCCAGTCACCTCCAATTCCATCAATGCTCTACCTGGACCAAGTCGGATGACTCCAGAACCTTTGCTCCCACAACTGCGGCGCGACCTGACACGATGGTCTAGCCAATCACCGCAGCAAAGTTCGTCCTTCTATTTGGGCAAGCTCCCTTTGCTGCACGAGCATTTATCCGGCATGAAATGAGGGACACCGCCAAGGAGATCATCAAGGTAACTGTCTTACTGGTTCTCATCCGTGTTGCTTGAACTCTTGTCAGTGTCCTCTTTACCACATGCTGTCTCAATGCAAACACATTTAATGCCTAGCTACCCAGGGGGCTTTTTGTCCTCGTCCCTCTCTTGGCTCCGCCAAGGTCTCTCTCTCTGCAGTGCCCCCTCTCTGACTCCTCCCTTGGCTCCGCCAAGATCCTGCTCCGGCAGTGACCCCTCTCTGACCTCTCTCTTGGCCCTGCCAAGATCCTGCTCCGGCAGTGACCCCTCTCTTGGCTTCGCCAAGATCCTGCTCCGGCAGTGACCCTTCTCTGACCTCTCTCTTGGCCCTGCCAAGATCCTGCTCCGGCAGTGATCCCTCTCTTTACTCAGGGCCCTCGGTCGCCGTCCCTCGGACGCAGACTCTTGTAGATACTTGGCTCCCCCAACATTCTGCTTCGGCGGTGTCTACCCGGCCGACTCTGAATCCTCTCTCGTAGATACTTGGCTCCGCCAACATTCTGCTCCCGCAGTGTCTACGTATATCTCTTGTCTGACCTCTCTCTTGGCCCTGCCAAGATTCTGCTCGGGCAGTGACCCCTGTCTTTACTCAGGGCCCTCGGTCGCCGTCCCTCGGACGCAGACTCTTGTAGATACTTGGCTCCGCCAACATTCTGCTTCGGCAGTGTCTACCCGGCCGACCCTGAATCCTCTCTTGTAGATACTTTGCTCCGCCAACATTCTGCTCCAGCAGTGTCTACGTATTACTCTTGTCTGACCTCTCTCTTGGCCCTGTCAAGATCCTGCTCCGGCAGTGATCCCTCTCTTTACTCAGGGCCCTCGGTCGCCGTCCCTCGGACGCAGACTCTTGTAGATACTTGGCTCCGCCAACATTCTGCTTCGGCAGTGTCTACCCGGCCGACCCTGAATCCTCTCTTGTAGATACTTGGCTCCGCCAACATTCTGCTCCGGCAGTGTCTACGTATTACTCTTGTCAGACCTCTCTCTTGGCCCTGCCAAGATCCTGCTCCGGCAGTGATCCCTCTTTTTACTCAGGGCCCTCGGTCGCCGTCCCTCGGACGCAGACTCTTGTAGATACTTGGCTCCGCCAACATTCTGCTTCGGCAGTGTCTACCCGGCCGACCCTGAATCCTCTCTCGTAGATACTTGGCTCCGCCAACATTCTGCTCTGGCAGTGTTTACGTATATCTCTTGTCTGACCTCTCTCTTGGCCCTGCCAAGATCCTGCTCCGGCAGTGACCCCTCTCTTTACTCAGGGCCCTCGGTCGCCGTCCCTCGGACGCAGACTCTTGTAGATACTTGGCTCCGCCAACATTCTGCTTCGGCAGTGTCTACCCGGCCAACCCTGAATCCTCTCTCGTAGATACTTGGCTCCGCCAACATTCTGCTCCGGCAGTGTCTACGTTGAAGTGTAATGGTGACCCCCTCCACCATCCTGACTGATACTAGCTAGTATTCATGGTGTTGTGTGAATGCCTCCTAGTAGAAGTACGTGTACTAGCTGCTTCTGTTCGTTGCTGTGTGCACTGTTTGTGTTCTTTCCTGTGTACATGAGTACTTGCATGGCGTTGTCGTTCAGGGATGAGTCGTGCGTGACTCCTTGTTCCACTGCATGTGCGGTGTGCTTCTTATCTTCTAATCTATAGGCTTCGTGCGGTTGGTGTCCGCTTTCTCTTCATGATCATGAGCCACTGCGTTGTATAGACTGCATGACGTGCTAACGGTGGCTGCCGTGCGGTGTGTGCGATTCACTGCATTCCTGACACTGCTGCTTGCAGGCGCATACATGTACTGCACCTTCGCGTGCTCTGTACTTTAGTCTTTAGTTCCGGTTCGATGCACCATGCGCATGCGTCCGGTATGGTGCGAGATGGTTCTTGCTCTCCCAACATTGTTTTTAGTTAGTTCTTTTTCTTAGTCCCAACAATAACCTCATGGAATTAAATCAGTGTGAAACGTAACTATGAGTTCGGTTGTGGGTCTGCAGTAGTCCTAGTGACACGGTTATAGTACAGCTTGTGGTGCCGAAACCCGGGAGGACGTCAGGGATACCAGCTGGGTTGCTGGTTGGCGTCGTGGTTGATTGTACTGTCGCGTGTGGACTCGTGGGGAAACTTAATTTTCCGATCTAGTACGATGTCGAAAGCTGAAGGATACCTGCGACCCTACCGGGGAAAGGTCGATGATTTCCAGACGTTCTGGGCGAAATTTGACGTGCTGGCGACAATCAACAAGTGGGACTCGGACGAGAAGAAAATGGCCCAGTTACCCTTGTTTCTGGAGCAGGATGCGTTCCTGGTGTTCAGCCGAATGAAGTCGGATGACAAGAAGAAGCCTGACGCCGTCCAGAAGAAAATGGAAGAGGCGTTTTGTATGACGAAGTGGGAAGCCTACCGGCGGTTCAAGGCCCGACGCATGAGACAAGAGGAGTCGCCAGATGCCTATGTTGCCGATTTGCAGCGCCTCGCCAGTTTGGCCGGCGATGCGTCGCCTGGGGATGACAAAAATCACTCTGTTGTTGAGCAGTTTCTTGACGGGCTTCCACATGCGTGGGCAAAGCAGGTTAGGTTGTCACTTGTGGGAAAGGACCAGACTGTGAGCGCCTGCTTAGAATTAGTCCGTGCTGTTCAGCTTAGTGATGGCGATTCTGTGACAGCTGCAGTAGGTACAGGTGCTGGAACTGGTAGTTTGGCTGGTGGAGCACGTGGCGACAAGACCAGCAGAAAGTCTTTCTTGTGCTACCTCTGCAATGAGGTCGGCCACATGAAGCGAGATTGCCCAAGGAGGAAGCAGGGGCAGCAGAGTGGGTCCAGCTCCAAGGATGGTGGAGGCCGTGGCAGTACGTGCTACTTCTGTGACAAGCCTGGTCACAGGAAGCCAGACTGTCCGGACCGGAAAGCTTGGCTGGCGAGCCGGCAAGGCGGGAGTGCTGCAGCAGCAGCTGGAGATGAGCCTAGTCCAGCCTTGGCCTCTGTGTCTGTGCCTTCGCCAGGGCAGCTGCCTAGGATCAAGGTAGACATGTGGACAACGGGCAACAAAGATGATGTGTCGCGTATGACAGCAGTCATTGACACTGGTGCTGTCCGATCACTGCTGACTAAGGACCAAGCCCTGTCCTGTGGCCTTGCGTGGTCAGAGTGTGAAAGCAGACTCGTGGCGCTGGATGGCCAGTCTATTGCTGTTCTTGGGAAAGTAGCCGTCAACATTGGACGATTGGATGGCCCTATCCCAGTGCAGATGCCAGAAGCCAGTGTGGAGCTGTTAGTCGTCAACGATCTGAGTGTCGTACACGCCGATTTGTTGATCGGTTGTGATGTAGCGAGCAGCTGTGGTGGCCTACATCTTGAGTATGCCAATGATGGCCGGCTGGAGAGTGTGAGGTTTGGGCCCGTGTCAAGTCCTGTGTCTGCTGCACTTCCTCAGGACGGTCACCCTTCCCGCCACGTGCAAGTGAGCCGTCATGGACAAGGTGTCACGTTGTCGGCACGTGATGGAGAGGTCCAATGGTGTCATGAAACCAAGCGTTGGATTCTCCGCTGGAAGTGGAAAAGTGGTGCAGCCCCTGAGGTTCCAGTGGGCTCTGGCATTGGCCAGTACTCCAGGGAGAAACTGAGCCCAGAGCAGGAGAAGTTGTTCTGCAAGGAAGTCGACGCTTGGATCGCTAATGGTTGGCTTGTGCCGCACGATGAAGCCACACAAGGTGCAGTGGCTGGTGTGCTTCCGTTGATTGCTCGCACCCAAGAGCATAAAGCATCCACCCCGATCAGACCATGCCTGGATTATCGTAAGCTTAATGAGCTCATTGAGTCTGAGCCTGGCTATGAAGCCCCCGTGTGCGCCGAGAAGATCAGGCAGTGGAGACGCAGCAGTGATGGTCAGTGGGAGATGCTGGACGTGAAAAAAGCATATCTCCAGGTGCATGTCAGTGCTGAGCTAGTGCGCTACCAGGCCGTTCTCTGGAACAACAAGGTGTACGTGATGACCAGAATGGGCTTCGGGTTGGCGATTGCGCCGAAGTTTATGCACCTCGTCATCCAGTGGATCACTCGCCATGGCCCAGAAGTCGACAACTATGTTGATGATATCCGAGCTCCAGCAGAAGTGACTCAGTGTGTTGCCGACGAGCTTGCAGCCTATGGACTCCCAACGAAGCCTGCCGAACCCATGGAGGAGTCCCGTGTTCTTGGTATGCAACTGAAGGCTAATGCCGATGGCGCCATGGGCTGGTCCAGGAGAGAGATCGATCTAGAGCCACCACCTAAGATGACAAGACGCAAGGTCTGCTCATGGTGTGGACGCCTTATTGGCCACTACCCGGTCTGTTCGTGGCTCAGGCCTGCTTGCGGTTACCTGAAGCGGCTGGCGACTGCTGCAGGTGGCAATGGATGGGACGATCCACTGCCGGAAACCCTTGTTGAATGCTGCCAAGAGCTGTTCGCGAGGCTCTCCTCCGACGATCCGGTGCATGGTCAGTAGGACGTGCACGCGCAGGCTGACTCCACCTGGACTGCGTGGTGCGAAGCATCTGGCCTAGCTATTGGTGTCGTTCTTGAGCTCGACGGGACCGTTGTGGAAGATGCATCATGGCTTCGGCCTGCAGGGGACAAGCTCCATGTAAATGTTGCTGTGCTTGACTCTGCCATTAAGGCCCTCACGCTAGCCACGAGGTGGAACGCGACGCATGTGGTTCTGAAGACTGACTCGAAGACTACTGCGGGATGGCTGGCTCCGGTTGTTGGTGGGTCACGTCGCGTCCGGGTTGGTGGTCTGCATGAGGTTCTGGTGCAACGTCGGCTGCAGATAGTCAATGATCTTCTTATCGTGACGGAGATGCAGGTGACTGTGGAGTGGGTGCCAACGACTGAAAACCTTGCAGACAAGCTGACGCGCGTGCCGTTCAACTGGCCGAAGAAGAGCTCTGATGTTGTGGCCAGTCTGCCGAGGGCTGTGGCTGTTAGCCCTTTCTCTAGCGATGAGTTGGGCAAAGCCCAGGCATCGGACGAGGTCATCCAAGGAGTGATTCAGCAGATTCAAGTTGGCCAGCCAGTAGCAAGTCGGCGCTTCCGCAATTGCGCCGGTCAGCTTCATGTGGAGGAAGGCCGCCTAGTCCGGAGCCTGAAGCTGCCTGTGGAAGGGGAAGTCAACGTGCCAGTCGTTCCCGAGTTGTTAGTGCCTGATGTCGTGACTGCTGCTCATGTCAACACTGGTCATGCTTCCTGGCAGCCAATGTATGAGTTGCTCCGCAAGCACTGCTACTTTCCTGAGATGGCGTCTGCCTGCCAAGACCACGTCAAGGGGTGCCAGAACTGCCAAGCCGCTAGTCCAGCAAAAGGCCCAGCAGCCCCCAGCGCCAGAGCAGAGATCCCAGGTCAACCATGGGGAACAGTGCAAATGGACACCCTGGAGCTTGGGCTGAACCGTGGCAGGACACACCACTGCGTGCTCGTGTGCGTGGATGTGCTGACAAAGTGGGTGGAAATAGTGCCAATGAAACGGCACGACGGGCCCAGTGTTGCCTCGGCCTTCGTGAGCTTGTGCTGTAGGTGGGGACCACCAGACGTCATCCGTGTGGACAATGGGACTGAGTTCAGCAATGCCATTGTCCAGTCTGTCTTTCAAGTGTTCGGCGTGAGGGTGAAGACAGGTGCCGTTCGCCATCCGCAATCCCAGGGAGCCGCCGAGAGGTACAATCGAACATTGCTGACTCTCATCAGGAAGGTCCTCGACGAATCATCGGACTGGATGGACGATCTTCAGATGCTGGTCCACTTCTACCGCTCTCGACCGCATTCAGTGACTGGCATGTCCCCAATGATGGCCATGGTTGGGTGGGACCCACCTGTGTTGATTCACGATGGACGCCCTAGGTACGACTTTGACACGTGGCAAGCAGAACACGCAGCACGATCTGCTAGGATCCAAGACCTTCTGGAAGACGCCATGTCGGAAGGCGACTGCCATGACGAGGTGCTGCCCTGCGCTTACCAGGCTGGAGATGCAGTCATGCTGCGGATGCCTAGTCGTCGTCAGAAGCGATTGCCGCCTTTTGAATCCGGCTGGACTGTGAAGAAAGTCATTTCTCCATCAACTGTCGTGATCTGGCGGAGGTCTGATGGTAGATCCCCTCGAGAGAAGGTGGTGAACGTGAAACTCATCAAGCCGGATGCTCCACGCCAGGTCTGGAATTGCCAACGGAAAACTTCCCTGATGGAGATGACGGCCAGGAGGGTGACAGCTTCAAAGCAGATGGCTGGCTTGGATGGCTCCCTGATCCGCAGGAGCCTGCTGCCGATGGCCAGCATGTCCGCATGGATCTTCGAAACCGACAAGGCATCCAGCGACCAGCTCGCTTCCAGGATTGATGCTGTTTGGCAGGAAATGTCACCAGGCGGAGGGATGAAGTGTGATGGTGACCCCCTCCACCATCCTGACTGACACTAGCTAGTATTCATGGTGTTGTGTGAATGTCTCCTAGTACAAGTACGTGTACTAGCTGCTTCTGTTCGTTGCTGTGTGCACTGTTTGTGTTCTTTCCTGTGTACATGAGTACTTGCATGGCGTTGTCGTTCAGGGATGAGTCGTGCGTGACTCCTTGTTCCACTGCATGTGCGGTGTGCTTCTTATCTTCTAATCTATAGGCTTCGTGCGGTTGGTGTCCGCTTTCTCTTCATGATCATGAGCCACTGCGTTGTATAGACTGCATGACGTGCTAACGGTGGCTGCCGTGCGGTGTGTGCGATTCACTGCATTCCTGACACTGCTGCTTGCAGGCGCATACATGTACTGCACCTTCGCGTGCTCTGTACTTTAGTCTTTAGTTCCGGTTCGATGCACCATGCGCATGCGTCCGGTATGGTGCGAGATGGTTCTTGCTCTCCCAACATTGTTTTTAGTTAGTTCTTTTTCTTAGTCCCAACAATAACCTCATTGAATTAAATCAGTGTGAAACGTAACTATGAGTTCGGTTGTGGGTCTGCAGTAGTCCTAGTGACACGGTTATAGTACAACGTATTACTCTTGTCTGACCTCTCTCTTGGCCCTGCCAAGATCCTGCTCCGGCAGTGACCCCTTTCTTTACTCAGGGCCCTCGGTCGCCGTCCCTCGGACGCAGACTTTTGTAGATACTTGGCTCCGCCAACATTCTGCTTCGGCAGTGTCTACCCGGCTGACCCTGAATCCTCTGTCTGTTTGTGTGTTTGTCTGTCTGTCTGTTTTGTGTCTGTTTGTCTGCTTTTCTGTCTGTTTCTGTGTCTATCTGCCTTTCTATTTCCTTGCCTCGTCTCCATATCAACGAGACATGAATCATTGCCACATTCAAGCAGTCGAAGGCCGAACGCTAGCAAGGCTGCTAATGTGACAGTGGCTACAGCTGGGAGACGTGCACGATTGCCAACGGCAATTCCAAGACGTTCTGGGACACGTTCAGCTCCACCACCATCTCAACTACCCGGTGGCCCACCGTGGCTGGTGGTTACCCGCCAAGATCCTGCTCTGGCAGTGATCCCTCCTGCTCCGGCAGTGACCTCTCTCTGACCTCTCTCTTGGCTCCGCCAAGATCCTGCTCCGGCAGTGTCTATGTGTTTAATCCCGCTCACGGTTGCTTCGGTACGAGGCTTGCTGGCCACAATGGGCCATGCTCATTTCCGGCTACTCAGGGCTCTCTGTCTTCGTCCCTTGGACGTGACTATCCTCTTGGCTCCGCCAATTTCCTGCTCTCTCCGTAGCCTCTCACTTCGCTGGCCAGCACCCTCCTAACCGCAAGCTGCTGTGTGTTGTAGTTAATGTAGCATTATAGTAATAATGCAGATTAATGGGTGCACGCGGCTGCTTCGGGCTACCACTCAAACTATGCAGCTATGAACGTGCGCTGTTCGTGCTCACATGGTACTCTATGCATCGTGGCATTCTATGTGTCATACAACGTGACACTCAACGCCTCGCCTCCGATGTGGAAGGCGTGTGGCTGCGTTATGATGACGCTTGCTCGTAGCTTAACGTGGGTGGCATGCATCGTTGAGTGTCTTGCTAGAGTTTGCTCTGCTATATATTTTCGATCCGTTCTCTGCGACAATCATTCTTCCTTGCTCGTAGTGTGTATTATATTTCGATTCGTTCTGTGAGCGGATCACTCTTGTCAGATCATTGTGTTTCACCCACCCACCTCCCATTTCTCATCTCTCATTTACTTTGATAAAGTAAATAAAGGGGTTTTGGCCATGCTCATTTCCGGCTACTCAGGGCTCTCGGTCTTTGTCCCTTGGACGTGACTATCCTCTTGGCTCCGCGAAGATCCTGCTCTCTCTGTAGCCTCTCAGTTCGCTAGCCAGCGCCCTCCTAACCGCAAGCTGCTGTGTGTTGTAGTTAATGTGTGTGTGTGTGTGTGTGTGTGTGTGTGTGTGTGTTTGTGTGTGTGTGTGTGTGTGTGTGTGTGTGTGTGTGTGTGTGTGTGCGTGTGTAGCATTATAGTAATAATGCAGATTAATGGGTGCACGCGGCTGCTTCGTGCTACCACTCAAACTATGCTGCTATGAACGTGCGCTGTATGTGCTCACATGGTACTCTATGCATCGTGGCAATCTATGTGTCATACAACGTGACACTCAACGCGACTTTCATTCATGCGCCACGCTCAACGTAGGTAGGCGTAGGCACTCAACGTGTCATAATAAAGTTTGGCGTTCATGCGTGTCGCTCGCCTCCGATGTGGAAGGCGTGTGGCTGCGTTATGATGACGCTTGCTCGTAGCTTAACGTGGGTGGCATGCATCGTTGCATGTCTTGCTAGAGTTTGCTCTGCTATATATTTTCGATCCGTTCTCTGCGACAATCATCCTTCCTTGCTCGTAGTGTGTATAATATTTCGATTCGTTCTGTGAGCGGATCACTCTCGTCAGATCATTGTGTTTCACCCACCCACCTCCCATTTCTCATCTCTCATTTACTTTGATAAAGTAAATAAAGGGGTGTTGGCCATGCTCATTTCCGGCTACTCAGGGCTCTCGGTCTTCGTCCCTTGGACGTGACTATCCTCTTGGCCCCGCCAAGATCCTGCTCTCTTTGTAGCCTCTCACTTTGCTGGCCAGCACCCTCCTAACCGCAAGCTGCTGTGTGTTGTAGTTAATGTGTGTGTGTGTGTGTGTGTGTGTGTGTGTGTGTGTGTGTGTGTGTGTGTGTGTGTGTGTGTGTGTGTGTGTGTGTGTGTGTGTAGCATTATAGTAATAATGCAGATTAATGGGTGCACGCGGCTGCTTCGTGCTACCACTCAAACTATGCTGCTAAGAACGTGCGCTGTACGTGCTCACATGGTACTCTATGCATCGTGGCATTCTATGTGTCATACAACGTGACACTCAAAGCGACATTCATTCATGCGCGACGCTCAACGTAGGCGGCATGCGTCGAAGGCACTTAACATGTCATACTAAAGTTTGGCGTTCATGCGTGTCGCTCGCCTCCGATGTGGAAGGCGTGTGGCTG